GGGGAATAAAAAAGCGGAAAATGTCTTACGTTTCCGACGAGTACTGCCTCCTTAGCATCAATCTTGTTTACCCTAACCTCTTCGTAGTATTTTGTGGCCCACCCTGGCCCATCGTCTTTGATGAATTGGTCGAGGACCGGATACAGGCGCAGCATGGCCTCCCGAACGGCGAGCTGATTGAGCTCCTTGTACTCTTGCGCGTTGGACAGACACTTGGGGCCCTGATAAAAAGAAAAGGTCAGTCAGGCATCCTGGAAGGCTCGATAATATTCGCTGTGTTCGGCGCAAGCGAGACTCACATTGCCCTGCCAAAAGTACAAAATCTTGTTCCGCTCCTGGTTTGTGAATCTGGACTGCCAGTCCTTGGTGTTGTAGCTCTGTGCAACTGCGAGAGCAGTGAAAGCGGGCGAATAGGTGTTCCTGATCCAATTGCGAAGATTGCTCTCGAGGTTCGGGCCGAGGTGGGCGGGAAGGTCGTCTGGTTTCCGCTTGCCCATGATGTTGTTGAGGTCGTCTTCCTCCATGTGGAAGTACATGATGTTTTCGAGGACGGTCTTGGCTTTCTTGTCAACCTGATAAAGTACAGCCATCTGGTTAGCTTTTCGGTCATACGTTGAGAAGTAAATGCCTTGGAAATGCCTCACATCTCCATTGTTGTATAGAATCGAGTCAATCGCCGTAGTATGATAAGGCCCCAGAGGCCCCTGCCGGACCGGGGGCAAAGGTTTCGGTGGCTCCGGTACCGTGCTGCCTGGGTGTGTGACTTGGTTTGGCAGCCGCTGGTCAATGTCGACTCTCGTGGCTTTGTGACCAGGATCGGACAGGAAAAGGTGCCTAGGCCGAGGTCAGCTTGCTATCGGATTGTCGCGGCGTCCTTCAGTAGCACATACCTTTGTCCTTCGCCCGTCTCCGAGTCAGAGTTGTACTCGGTGATGGTGCCCATGGCAGTCTTCCCATCCGGGCCAAGCGTCAACTCAATCGAGGCAAAGAGCATACCGAGCTTGATGTCGGTCTGGAGGTTCTTGAACGTCCATTCCAGCGAGTACTCTTCGTCGCCGTCATTCCCATCTTCCTTTGGCTTGTCGCGGTACCGCCTTAGCAGCTCCTGACCATTTGGTGTCATGGTAATGGAGACCTTGGTGCGGCCGTCGGCTTCCAAGGCCAGTACGCTGTTATAGAAGCTCGATAGCTTGCCGAGCGAGCTGTCAACGTGCTTTTTGGTGATGATGTCGTACAGCTTGTCCAAGTTGGGCAAAAGAGCCACTCGCGTCGACAAACCCTGGGGGTTCTTACGGCCGACGGCCAGGTTGATAGGACCAAATGGCATCGGATCGCCGGGGATGACTTGGTTCTTCTTGTATCGATTTGCGTCGTAGATCATGTTGAATTGCAACGGGTCCAACAAAGGCATCGTCTCGTCGGGCGGGAGGAACAGCGGATCTTCCTCGCCGCCATGGTCCGCGCCAGGGGACCCTGCCGGCGCTTCCTCTGGTAGCGCTCTCGCCGTACCCTCTGTTGCCATGTACATGGCGTACGCAGGCGGGCCCCGGTTTCCCTCAGCAAATGCTTCGTCATAAGACGGGGGTCCGTCTAGCTCGCCGCCCATGGCAAGGTAGTGTATGTGTCCGACGGGAAGAAGTTCCTGGCCCTCGGCGTCTTCGCTGTAATACAGATCGCCCTGTGCCGACAGCAGCAGTGGGTCAACGGTCAGCGTTCCATGCTCAAACACGACGTCCCCAGCCCAACTCTTCATCTCCCTACACCACCTGATCTCATTCTTCATATTAGAGATGGCGGACCGCCAGGCAGACCTCTCCATCGACATGAACGATGCTGTCAATAACAGAGACGAGAGGCAGTGAGCGGGGGAGGTTGGAGTAGTCAACTCCTGGATTGTCTCGGACGGTTACTGCAGCGCCAGGTTGCCCGGCCCGGTGAGCCTGGTTCCTGGACGTCTTGTACTAGACGCATGGCTGTTCTTTGTCGCTTCTCCATTTTTACTTTCGCGCTTCAGCACGTTCCCTGAATGGCGCCATTGGCCGAAGCGTTCCAAGAACGGACCGGGATCGTCGAAGGCCATCATCATTCTGGTCTGGTCCTCGACGGGGACGGTCCTCAGCATTTTGCAAATGCTCTTCATCGTGATCTACCAAGCATGGTTAGAAATCCTACTCTATTTCAAAGATTCTTCTTGGAGGTGTCAACAACACTGACCTCTGGGTAGTTGACGGCTACAAGGTAGTTGTTGGCATGGTAGCTACGACGGCCCTCTCGGAGATGGACGCCGTAGACGTGCGTTAGGTTCTCCATGATCTGGGTCGAAATGCTCCTGATTACCACGGGCTCGTAAGAGTTGTTCTCTGTATTGAGCCGGAGCAGAACGTGACCGTTCTCCAGTCGGCCAACGTCCGCCCACGGGTTTTCTTTCATGGCGAGAGTCGGGTTCAATGCCCGGAGTCTCTGTGGTCGTGTGGAAGATGTGGCCCGCCGTGAAAAACGGAGATTCATCATCTAGTGACGTGTATCAGCTTTGCGCAGCGCAACATTCCTCGTTTCTCATCAACTTACTGAAGCCGTGGATATGGGGTGCCTCCACGGGTATCTCGACTCTTTCGTCAGACACGACTCCCCACTCGCCAGAGTCACCACACCTTGTCAGCACCATGTCGTGCTCAGCCAAGTTCTCGATGTTAGTCGTGCCTGAGCGCGTGATGATCTGGGTGCCGGGTATGAAGCAAGATCCGAACGGCTTTTCCATTTCCATCTTCCAGTTCCGCGGCGGGTCATTGACAATCAGCCTGGGGAAGGCAGAGCGAGCTACACTCGACTAGTCAGTCTTGCCACATCACCAAGGATGGAGAAATGACGGGAGCAAACGTACTCTGTTGGATTTAGTTCTTGACCTTCTGGCCCCTGGTTGTTGTGATAGTCCCATATG